TAAGGCTTCCAGGGCATTGCACACAAGTGTGCAAATAATTGCAGAATTGAAACAGGGTGCATTGCGTCATCAATCGCAACGCATGCCGGGATGCTGGTCGCTGTGAAACTTTTTTCAAAAACCTTTATTAACATCTTTTAAACAAACAGCCAAACAGTAATTTGAAATGAATTTACATTTATTGCTGCTTTGTCTAAAAGTTTTAGAGCGTCAACTAATCATCCTAAAATTAACTAATTTCATTAGAAAATTTATATTTTTGGAAAAGGAACTTGAGCCTTTTTTCCTGCAGCAATGACTTGTGGGTAATGCCCTTGCCCGAGGTTCGCATCGCTGCAGACTTGGCTGAAGTGCAGATTAAGGGTGCAATGGGGGCGTGGCCAACTTCTGCACTTGAGAATCAGAACACCCTACGCACTCGCACCCATGGCCAGGAACGTGCAGTTGAAGGGTGCAAGTGCGAGTGTTGAGTGTAGGCCATTCCACCATCTTTGGACTGTTTCTAAATGAAACACAGACAAGAACACCATGCCAACTGGTTAGGGTTAGGGTTACCAAACATCACCTGGGGTCTCATTTATCAAGCCTGCTTACGCACAAAAGGGGTCGGAAAACTGCGTAAGCAACTTTACACGCAAACTTTGGGATTAATGAAAGAAAACTTAGCGGAAAAATTTGCACAACTTTAAGTTGACTAAGGACCTGGCTTACACACATTTTGGACATGGAGAGCACCTGCAGTGCTGCTGCTGAGAAGGATACAATTATGTAATCCTGCAGCATTATCACTTGTACCGCTTCATTTTCACACAGAACAAGACCATCCACACACACACACACACACACACACACACACACACACACACACACACACACACATGTGCGCGCACACATACACCCACACACACGCACACGCACACACACACACACAAACACACACACACACAGCCTGAAGCGCAGAATACGCAATGCAGAATATCAGCAGGGGGACAGATTGAGACAGAATGTCATGCGTCTGTGACAGTGTGTGTCCTGTCACTGTGACCCGATTGATCATGCGCCCTGGCTACTTTAACAAGGGAGATCTCTGTTTGGCTAACTGGTTAGCACGCGTGACTTTCACCTGGGAGTCTGGGGATCGAATCCCGAATGGATCCTTTTTGTACATCTGCCACAGATCTCTGAACAATTCACAACATTGACGGCTTCAGTAACGCTGTGCCACTCCGTGGATTTTCTCTTATTTGTTTTGCAAAAGCACTTCCTTTCATTTCTCCACCTCACCCACAAGTACCTCAATTTCTGCTTCTGTGAAATTGTGCTTCCTTGATCTGCCTTGATCTACGGTCGCCATGTCATTGGCGGAGCGCTGCAACAGCCGGCCTATGTATGTGCATGAGGTCCACAAGGCACGTTGCAGTGACCATTTATGGCAGTAAGTGGGCGTGGTGAGGGCGGGATGTGACTAAAAGCTGCTGCTGAGAAACATTTAGATCATTTCTGATTTATGAAGCGGAGATTGTGTGCAGCTGTGCGTACTCCATGTTTGATAGATCACAAACCTACTTGGCGTAAGTAAAAAATTTTTTGCAGAGCTTAATTACGGTTTTAGTACGATTCTACGCAATGTTTGATAAATGAGACCCCTGGACTTTAATACATTTAAGACGGTTTTATGTGTGAGCCAAAGGATTGCCTCTGTAGTTTACACCAGTTACAGTTGAGGCTCGTTTCTCTGTTGTTGCATTTCTAGAGAGGCACACATTAGGCCACAGGGAAGACACACACGAGTTGTGATTTTCTGCCACTGTCACAGAGTTAATGGCGTTAAATCAGAGTCGCAGCATGCTAAGATTAGATGTCCTTGGGTGAAATTATGTTGTGTTAATTCAAACTGATGCATGATAGACAACAATCGATTTCCAGTTCTTGTTCCATAGTTTGTTTGGAGTAGGAAATGATCCATGATGTTTGTTTTTCTGGATTCAGAAAAAAAAGGATCTCCAGACTCATGTAGAAGCTTAAGATTTCTAAAGTGCTCAGAGGCCTACTACCATGCACACTAATCCTCTGCATGCTGCACTTCTCTGAAAAAGCGCACACTCCTTAAATGAGCTTGTACTGTAACACACTCCATGAGCACGGATGTTTGTGCGCAGGGGGAATGTTTCAGCATGCACCAGGGGAAATCAGAAAGCACCCAGCAGCCCTAAACTCCTCAGAGTGAGACTTCATAATTACACTTTTACACATGGGCACACACTGACACACTCACACTTGTAATTACAGTCTGTACCACAATCCCATTAATTCTTGCAGGGCCTTTAGGCGATTTTCCATCATTTATGTGGTCACGGATCCTGGTATGAAGGCCTTTGTGGGGACGTGAGGTCGCAGGAGGTGACTTTGTGTTACTCACCCAGTGGGTCATGGGTTCAATTCCCAGCTGGCACAGCAGCTTGAAAGTCAGAGGCTCCCCTTATTCATTTATCACCCCTGTTTGTTCTTGTTTAGCTGATTCAAACAGGATGAAAATAACAAGCTTAAAGACATAAATGTACCCCTATAAACACGTAACCAAGCAAGTAATCAAATGGCCTTTGGCTCAGTTGAACAACGCTCACTGTTCTCTTTAAAAACCCCACCATTTAGAGTCATCAGCACAAATGGAATAGAACAAAGTGGCATTTCACTCCTACTAAATTTTACAGCAGTGTATCATCATGGCAGCGGGGCAGGGAGGGAAGATAGAAATGTGGAAAGGAACAACTCAGAGGAAAGGAAGCAAAGAGATGGGGAGAAAAGCCGGAGCCCAGCTGTGTTTTCCAGCCGAGAGCTCAGCAGAGATGACAGAGGGAGGAAGACATGACACTCTGTCAAACAGACAGAGATATGAAGTCTAGATGTCAAGAGACGAAAAAAAAAGAAGTGCTCCTGGTCATGTGCACTTGAATTCAATTTCCTTTTATCTGTATTTGTGTGTGTTTTCAGAGGAAATCATTTTCTGTGTGTGTTTTGTGTGCACGTGGTGGGGAGTGCAGTGGCTCCGAGGGCAGTGTGTAGAAAATGTCAGTGAGAATGAGGAGCCATTGTGTCTGGATGTGGTGTCTGTTTGTGCACTGGGGGGTGACAGAGAATGTTTATCTTTGCACCGTGTGCGTGACGGATTAAAGACGCTTTCCTCTGTGTGTGTGTGTGTGTGTGTGTGTGTGTGTGTGTGTGTGTGTGTGTGTGTGTGTGTTAGTAGAGGATTCCTCTCCACATACTTGCATCTCTGATTTATCACACACTTTGCCCTTAGACTGAGCACAGGCGTGTGTAAGTAAACATCTGGGTTCGTTCCTCTCTCAACACACACAATGCTCTTGTGGTGCACATGTGACTTTTAACTCATGTGAATTGAATTCATCCAGAGTTGTTGTTGTGTAAAACGCTGAGAAAAACCTTGTTTGCTCCCATCTTTTATAGTTTCTCAGTAAAAATAAACTTTGACCTCACAAACAAGAATATTTATGTGTTTTCGTGCCAAGCTTAGAACGAAAACAAAACTGTATTCCCAAAAATGTTCAACTGTTTCATGCAGGGTCACAATTTTTTCTTCCATAAAGTCCAGAGTAATCTAGAAAATGTTGAAGTGTTGGGATATGAACCCACAGCAGGAACTGCACAAAACACAAAGAAATATTTTTGAAAGCGCTCAAACATTCTGGGGAAAAAGGGTTCACATCTGCATTTTGCTTAAATTAGAGAAAGTCATGCTTTGCTTATTTGGTTTAGTCTAAGTTCTGATTTCATCGTTATTATAGATTTATTATAGTTGATCGCTATGCAATGCACTAGGTGAACGGTTTCACATCCACTGTGTTCAAAGGAACAATAAAATCCACCCAGAGGTTTCCAAAAATTCATAGAATGACCATTTCTGAGTGTTTTGTGTGACCTATGCAACAGGAAGGACAATTTTCTATTCATCAAACTCTTTTTGCACTATTTAGTTTTAGACTGTAGTGGAAATGCTGGTGGTTCACAGACAAATTAGCAGAGGTGTGACCAAGTCACTGCTTTGCAAGTCACAAGTCTTTTCAGTCTGTTGGCATTCAAGTCTGAGTCAAGTCATAAGTCTTTACAGATTTTATCAGGTCAAGTCAGACGTCATCAAAATAATGACTCCAAGTCCCTGAGTCCAAGTCATGTGACTCAAGTCCACACCTCTGCAAATTAGTCTTTTCAGTACCTTTAAAGAAAGAAACTGGTCACCAAAGCACCATGGTGCTTTTTGGCCAAGTTGCAGTTGTTCACGGTTCAAGTCCAGACTTTTCTGCGTGGAGTTTGCATCTTCTCTGTGCATGTGATGGTTTTAGGGTCAGAAGAAGAGGTCGACGGTTATTGGTTTTTCTATTGCCGCTACCAACGTGAGTTGACATGAGGTTGGGGTCAGCCAACGGCCGGTATGTGCTGCTGATTTTCATGGCCGATATCTCGACATTTTCTCTTTTATTTCATGCTAAAATGTCACTAGAAAATCAGTTGATGGAATTTATGAAGCAAAATCAGTTTTTAAACACTAATTTTAACCAACTCTGAATTTTGTGCACTGCTAACTAACGTTAATCAGACAAATATTTAAAACGGGTAAATGAACGTATATTTTAGCTGAAAATAGATTTAGGGCATTTATTATGCAGATGCTGTTCAGGACCGTAAATGAACATCTAAATTAAATCCTGCAGCAGCAAGGGGCTGCCTGTGGATGCGCCTGACTTTAAATTGGCTTTGATGAGGAAGAATATTGGCGATGGTGATTTATAGGAAATGGTTAATATTGGCTGGATAGATCGGTCTACCCCGAGTCACAAGTGGATTGATGTGTCAGACTAGGGACTGTGGCAAGATTTCTATGAATAAATCTGATTCTTTACTGAGATCCTGTGTTCAGGCTCAAATGCCACCCTTCTCAGGAAAAACAGCAGAATCATAAAATGTCCATCATCTTTCATCAGGTCTTCCATGCCAATGCTGACGCCACAGAGGTCGTTCTCAATCGGATCCCACAGCCGGTCCTGGCTCGCTTCGTACGAATCCGACCTCAGACGTGGAAGACCGGCATCGCGTTGAGGTTCGAGCTTTATGGCTGTCAGATCACAGGTAAGGGAAGTGTGTCGTCCTTTTTTCTGTTTTCCTTGAAATGTCTTTATACAAAAAAGTGATTTTTGCCAAGATTTTTTTTAAGAAATCGTCTTTTTGCATCAGGTCAGAATTTGGGCTCAAGGCAAAAATAACTCCCTCAGAAAACAAGACCTCGAAAAGAAAAGCCGTGCAAAAATAAAGTTTGTGTTTTCTCTATGATCTAACGATAATTCTGTTTGTACTTTGATCCACTTCTTTGTTCACGCACACACGACACACCCACTCTTGTGCACTCACACCCTTGCCCTCGCTCTTTCATATACATATCCCCCTTCTCTTACACCCACTCATAGATTACACACACACACGCACACACGGTCCTAATAGAATAATACTAGAGTGTCATGTGTGGGTGATAGCATCAGAGAGTAACGGGCTCTCAGCTTTCATCTGCAGCCCTGGCAAACAAACACAATTTCAACCAGCATAATCAGCTCAATACTATAAATAGATCAAACTTAATTATACCGTCTGCGTTTGTGTGTCTGCATGCGGAGAAACGGTAAAAGAGTAAGGACTTGGATCCATTTGAAACGTGTGTGTGTGTGTGTGTGTCTCAGCGCCACGGTATCATTATTAGGTTAAGGCCTCTCTCTGCTGCCATCGAAGCGACCATTGAGGGGGACAGATATGCTCTTTTTTCAGGAGGGCCATTTCAGCACCCACACAAATCACAATCACACCAAAACAATATGGCAGACAGGGAGGGTGGTATACATCAGCCTTCTTGCCTGTGCTTGTGTCCACCAGTCTATTTTTTGCCCTATTTTAACACCTGAAATTGCATTATATATCGCCTTACTGTCCTCACCACTCAGCTCTGTGAGCACATGCAGCATTTTTCTGATGCCTGTTCGCTCTCTCTCTGGCACTTTGTGATTTCCATTATGGCTCTGAAAAAAAAACTTTACATGCAACATCTTGACAAGTTTGTACTAGCTCGGCTTTTGTCACAAAGACTAACTGAGTTTGGTATTTTAGAGGTAAACAGGGAGGAAACAGCGTGTCCTGCTGCAGTAAAATATGTTTTCCAAAAGAAAAAGCAACTTTTACAGACCAAACATCTCTGCTAAAAGCCTTCTGCTGCACATAGACATGCGGGAAAGCACACTCTGGAACACACTTCCACAGCGTGATAATGCCCACACAGGCCTATAAAGTCAGAAATAAAGCAGTCAGTCAGTGACATGTCATTAACTTAAATCACACTTTTATGCCTCCTGCACTGCTTTTCTCTCACTTTCTTGTCTTTTTTTCCTCCCTCTCCCTTCACCGTCCATCTCTGCTGACAGCTTCCATTCCCACGTCTCCCCAGCCTTCTCTCGTTCTCTCCCCTTCATCACCTTCCCTAAATCTTCCCGGCCCCTGCCTCGTTCAGCAGCAGCTTCTTCCTCGCCTTAATCCCATTTTAGCACCGCAGCTATTTATCAGTTGCTTATTTTCACTACTTGTGTTATTCCTTGTGTGTGTGTGTGTGTGTGTGTGTGTGCGCATGCATGCATGTGCGTGTCCAGCCAGCCATGTATGCATCAGCTCCATCGGTGTGCTTTATGGCTGCTGTGGGAGCTGATTATCAGTAAAAGCTCAGTGGGAGTGTGTGTGTGTGTGTGTGTGTGTGTGTGTGTGTGTGTGTGTGTGTGTGTGTGTGTGTGTGTGTGTGTGTGTGTGGGTGTGGGTGTGTGTGTGTGTGTGTGTGTGTGTGTGTGTGTGTGTGTGTGGGTGTGTGGGTGTGTGTGTGTGTGTGTGTGGGTGTGGGTGTGTGTGTGGGTGTGTGAACTGCCAGAGCATCAGGGACAGAAAATGTGTGAGACCTTGGATTATTTTGCCTGTGCATGCATGACTTTGTGTGAGTTTGTAAGCGTAAGAGCTCTCATGCCGGTGTGTTGAGTCCAACCATGTCTGCTGGGACCGGAGGAGACGGTGCCCTCGTGGACTCCCACTGCTCTCCTGAATTAAAAGGGCTGCTGGAGCGCTGCAGCTGGAGCAAAAATAAAACAAAACAATTGCCGTTGCACGCTTTTCTCCGAGCTGCTAAGTTTTCATGAGTGTTCTAGAGCTTAAGGAAGGCCGCGAGAGTCTGCTGTTGTTGATGAATTATTGACCGGCATGGTGTTGCAAACGTCACAGCATTAAACATTCATCTCCACAAAGACCTGAAGAATGTCACCATCAATCACTGTCAGCCTCTCTCCTTCTTGCTCTACCTTTTCTTTGCAGTTCATATCTCACTTTGACCTTTTGTCCCTCTCTTTAGCTCTCCTTTTTTGTCTCACACTTCCCTCATTCCTCTTCTGAATTCTCAGATTTCACGGCTCGGTTTCTTTTTTTCGCTTTGTCTTCTGTCATTATTCATGACGATGCTTTATTCTGAAGCTACTTAGATTGAAACTCATTTGTTGCTGTAATAAACAACATCTCTTTGATCTGCAACACGCTCCTTTATAGTTCCTCCTTCTGGGAGATCCCAGGCTCTATTCCCCACGCAGACCCTCCCCTTACCCCCCTTCGACTGCTCTGATAACGTTATGTGTCAACCTTGCAGCAGCAGGATGAAAAAGAAACAAACTAGGTGAAAGAAAAAAACAGAAGGGTGGAACACGTCAGCTGTTCTAAAGGTGTTGTGGAGCTTAAACAAGATTTTTTTTTTCTCAGAGATTGGATTAGACATAGACTCTGAAATCTTCCAGATCTGGAAATTTGTTTCATTCATGGTTGAGCAGGAAGTGTAATCCTTAAGGAGCAATTTTAGATTTGAGTTCAACTCTGGAAAAAGACATCTCTTTAGTTTAACAAAGAAACTCAAGTCCTACAGAGCTGCTATCCAGCATATTTTAGAGGTTTCCCTGCCTCAACACATCTGATTTCAATCAGCAGGTGAGTAACAGGCTTGATGAGCTGCTGGACAGGTGATTCAACGGTGTTGAAGCAGGGAAACAACTAAAACATGCTGGACAGTGACTCTCCAGGACCAGGGCTCCCTCCTCCTGGTTTAACGTTTGAACAGAGAATATGTAGACTTGAGTAAAAACGTGTTGGAAATACGATGCTATAAAACACAGATCAAACATTCAGAGTTGCAGGGATCGTCGCTATGACAACGCTCAAAACAATAGAGCAAACTAAATTTATTTTGGTCCTTTACGTGTGCAAAAACGGCATCTGGAAAGTTAAAAGAGGATATTTAAACCAAAAAACTCCAACATTTTAAACCCACATAAAATCCTCAAGCATGTGTGTCGTTGCTAAAAATCTTAGATTAGCACACAAGGCCATTATAATTCACCTGGATGACAGAAAATATGTTGAGTAACTAGTTAAAAATACTATTTTACTATAAAATAACCATTAAAATCATTTTGGACTCCTTTTCAGATGCACCTTGCTCTGAGCTCCAGGGCATGCTGTCTGGGCTGCTTCCTGACTCCCAGATCTCTGCATCTTCTATGAGGGACATCCACGGCTCGATGGGGGCAGCCAGGCTGATGGCCAGCAAGTCAGGCTGGTATCCCAGTCCGACCCAGCCTATAGCTGGAGAGGAGTGGCTGCAGGTACGCAACCTTCAAATCACTTTTTTTGTTGCCTATTTTACAATATTCTTCATGATTTCTGCGTCCGAGTCCAGAAGACCATTGGGAATTAGCCATTGTGCATAAACCCATATTCATGAGCTTCAAGATTTGAGTCTTCAGCCAACACGTTTACACTTCACATTGGGAAAGAGGAGTGTGGAAGTAGGAATTTCACACACTCAAAACAATAATTTGTGATTTTTTATGCTTGTAGTTTTACTTTTCATCCTTGGCTGATGCATATTTAGCATAACCTTTAAAATAAGTTGTTTTTTGTGCATGTGTAGTGTGCAGCTGCAGCATCTGCATGGTCCCACAATGCAGTCAGCTTCATAAGGATCCTGAAATGTCCACCTCACAGGCCTGACTGGTTGAGAAACAACTTCTAAAAGTAAAAATTGGTTTGTTTTCTGGTGTCGACAGGTGGACCTCGGTGTTCCCAAGATGGTGCGTGGCTTAATTACCCAGGGTGCAAGAGGGCTGGAGGGCAGCTCGAGTGCAGAGAACAGAGCCTTTGTGAGGAAGTACAAACTCGCACACAGTTTGAACGGCAAAGACTGGAATTATATTATGGAGAGCAAGACTGGCTTTGCTAAGGTAAAAACTCATTTTTATATGTTTATCTCACCTCATCAGTGCACCCCAGAGCAGCTGTGGCTACATCATAGCTCATCCCCACCAGAGGGTGAATGTGTGTGTGAATGGGTGAATTACTGATTGTGTTGTGAAGTGCTTTGGGGGGCTGTAAAGCCCTAAGAAGGTGCTATACGAATACAGGCCATTTACTATCTTCATCAATATCCAACCGACTCCTCTCCTCCTCTTCTTTACTTTCTGTATTCTTCCACTTTATTCCAGCATCAGTTTGGGAAACAATTGGGTTTAATCACCTCTCTCCTCCTGCCTCCATCCTTTTTTTTTTCCTGAACTCTTTTGGTCTCATCCACTTGTTCGCTCATCTCCTGTTTTCTCTCTCATGGGTGTTAATTAAAAATGTCTTTTCTGCATCGCTACTCAACACTGCTGGCAGTCTAATGCACCGTGAGATGCGGCGCTTCATTCTCCGTTCTGAAACTGTCTAAATGCTGTAATAGTACTACTGAGTGTGAGGATTTTTCTCCTGATGTTAACAATCCTGTTCTCTCTCATCTGCCTGTCTTTTTATATGAGCATCCTGGGAAAGTCATCAAAGATTTATTTTTTCTTAAATTCAGTCACTTCTTAAAGACAGAGAATACACTTCAAACCATGAAAATCAACAGCAGTCTAACGGTGTGATTGTAATAAAACCTGTATTCCTTTTCTCTTGTTGCCAGAGGCTGCAGTTTCTTCAAAGATTACTTGAAAATCAAAGGAAACACACTTGTTATTTTTTATCACTCGTGTCACACTGAGAAGCAAAACAATGCTGATTAGCCGCTTGCATGACTACTGACAAGCTCACTGTTTCTCCCTCTTCGTTTTTATCATAAGAACCAAATCAAAAATGAGTAAATTTTTTACTGCTTGAGATTCTTGTAAAGGTCATTTCCAAAATGTACCCTCTCATGTATTTTTAACCCTTACTAGAAAAAGAATCCATCATCCACTGAGGAAAAACAAAAGTAAAGGTATGCATCCATCTTGTTTACCAGATTTTTGAAGGGAACAGCCACTATGACACTCCCGAGGTGCGCAGGTTTGATGAAATTGTGACGCAGCACATCAGAGTCTTTCCCGAGCGATGGTCTCCTGCAGGGATTGGCATGAGGTTGGAGATTCTTGGATGTGATCTGCCAGGTGAGACCACACACACATTCTGGCAAGAGGGTCAAATTAATGCTTTCTATCCGTCCTCTGGTTGCAATTCAGGTTTGGAATTGGAGCTGCATGAAAGTCTGCTGTTCTGCTTTCCTGCAAAAATAATATCTGAAGAGAAACCATTCAAAGATGTTTTACTAAAGCCGGGGCCCAAGCACTAAGCCTTGAGGAACACCGGAAGAGAAAGAGTTTTTAAACACTCCTTTTCTATTAAATTAAATGAAAGGCCATCATAATAAGTTTTTACAACCACCAGAATCAAACAATCCAACCACATTAAAACACATGAAAAAACATTTTAACAGTGATCCACAGACGAAGGGAAAAGTGCAGCTTTGTTTAGATAAAAAATTTAGCAAGGAGTTAGATTGACTACTCAATCAGGAGTTTGTTCCAAAGATTCAGGGGCAACATTGAAACCATTAAAGGTCGAATATGGAACACCAAAGCAATATCTAGTGTGTGGAGATTTCAGTGGCAACAGCAGAACAAGGTTTCCAGCCGTTGAGATACGATACAATGACATTTTTTATTTGGGTCCATCTGTTGTAGGCTTCACCTAAACCTGCCCTGGTTATAGATCATTTATGGTTGCTTCTCCTCTGAGAAGGAAAATGACATTTTCTGGCTCAGAAGCAGCTGCTCGACTTGCTGAGTCCGCCATTTTCCACAGTGCCAGCCTCGCTATGCCGAGCGGACTGTTTGGCAACCCGCAATGATGCCCTCTATTGGCTGGTAGAGGTAAACATTAACCCAGTGTTGTGCCCGTCAAAATAAATATTTGATTATTTTTTCATTAAAATTGCTTTTAAAGGAAGCACTGTACAGTAGACTGTATTCTACACAACCCTTAACACCCCATGGAAGTATTTTTTTAAATATAGCTTTTTATTAAATTGTTCCAAATTCAAACTTTAATATATAAATATAAAATCTACATTTAAAAATAATAATCAAAATACAGAAGTCCATACATTCTTATTTTTATCCTTGTTAGCAATTGTGTCTCATAATAAACAACGACATCAGCGGTGAATTATGAAAATCTATAAACTAGATTTTAAATCAAATTTACAGTTTTATCATCATATAGTTGTATTTAGTATATTTTAAATATGTACAGTTTATATCCATGAATGTGTGGTCAACACAGTAGTCTCTGAATGCTGGCTGCCATGCATTCCGTACGTTTAGTGGTTGAAGTTAATCATCTTGCTCCGTTGGAGGCTTCTCAACATGTCTGGCTGCGGATTAAAATGTCTAGGTCACAGGACTTTTCCCAACAGTGTCCAGCTGTGGAAAACATTGTTTAGGTTTGTAACATGCTTCCAGCACGGGATTAGCTGCAGAATAAAGTGAGCTGAGCAATCGTGTCAAAATATCCTTTTTTTTTCTTTTTTTTTTTTTTTTTGGTTTTCACATTACGTTTTTCTACTTTGGGATTATTGGGGTAAAATTGTTCAGCACTCATACATGCAGGTTTCCTTACTGATCGGTGTAACGTGTATGATAATGTATGTATGACCACATTTTTTGTGGAGTTTTTGTGCAGCCTTGTAATTTTAGTGTCTGCAGCAAGCCATTGTGCAATTTATGATGTGCATTAAAATCATTTCTCATCATTTAATTAAAATTATGATTGCTCCTTTTTCTCTAAAACTTTATTCAAGTAGTGCTCTAAAAAGATGTCCTCTCTTTTCCCTTTACGAGCCGTGATGTTACTGCTTTAGTTTTGCTGTGACATGTGACAGGTGAAGACAAGAACAGGAAATGACACGTACCTGCTCCCAGTGGATGTAGAGTGGGCTGTTGGCTACAGCTGATGGATACAGTTCTGTATTTCTGAACTCATGTGTGCAGTCGGAGAGAGACGAAGGGCCCGAAGGGAACAATACATCCCAGATGTGTCAGGCCAAACCAGTAGGCTGCTTGTGATGGGAACGCTGAAAAACGGGAGCACTTTTTTCTTTTTAGATGGCTGGGATGATTATCAGGGATGAGATTTCAGCCACACAGTGGAAGGAAGGAAAGGGAAAATCAAAATGAGCCATCACTGATATTATATCTGCTGTAATTTAAAGTGACAATGTGTAGTTTTTACTGTTAATCTCTGGAAATATCCATCAAAATGTTGTTGAAAATTAATTAAATGATGCCCAGTTGTTGAAAAATATTGGTGGCTTTGTAACATATAACCATACAAATCAGGTCTAAAATATATGGGAGCGGTTCTAAGTGTCTGAGCAACACCATATTAGGTGCCATGTTTCCTTCTACGTGAGCCTGTGAGGACAAAATGCATTTACTGATTTGTAACAAGTGGTTACAAAATTTTCACCATTTATAAACATTGTTTTACATTCGCTGCCAGTGATGAAAGGGAGTCATGTGTGTTTGTCATTTTGCTGAAGGTGTAATGGTCTGATGAAGTACTCATTCAAAAATGGCGGGTTGGTAAGGTCTTACTTGTACAGAAAAATACAGCTTGCTTGCAGTGACTTAGGTATGTACATCCCCCTATCGCCAGGAAAAATGCACATAGTCACTTTGGCTTTTCTCTAAATGGATTAATATCCGATATTATTGGCCTTAAAACGTAATATCGGAAAATATCGTTATCAGTTTTTAATCCTTAGTGACACAACTTTTACATACCATGCACATTTTACACATCAAACTCTTCAGCTTCATCTATTCTCTTTCATAATTCCAAAACACAACACATCTGAGGTTTCAACTCTTCCCCTAGAGGACAAAATGTGTAACCCTTTAGTTGTCAAAATAAAAAATAGCTGAAAAAATAACATAGAAACACTGAAACCTCATTAGTAGATTATTTTACATTTTCCTCATTGTTTTTTATTTTATTTTATGCACTTTTTGCCCCCAATTAATTTAAATAAATAAATAAATATTATTGCTCTATCGGGGTTAAAAGCAGGGTGGAATATATTAAACTACTCTTTAAGTGGAATGTTTTCGCTTCTAACTTGGGCCTAGTCCACACGTAGCCGGGTTTTTTTTAAAACGAAGATCCACCCCTCCAAAAACTTGCATCCACACCACCTCGTTTAAAAAAAAACTCTGTCCACACGTACCCGGATAAATACGTTGTTAAGGACATGCCAGACCTGTAGGCGGCAGTACTTCCCCCATTCTTAACCTCGTCCTTCGTCTGTGGTCTTCCGTAAGGAGCACTAATTCCACTTGCAAAAACAAACAAGCAAAAAGCGCTTGGACAATTGATAAAGCGAGCGCAGCTCTGAGGGCATCCATGCTGTCGGCTAGTGTAAACACAGGTCGCACACGTGATGTCAGCATTTTTTTGTCGCGGAAAGTGACGTTGCGGACCTTAAAACTCCGGTTTTGTCTGTCCACACGCAGACACCCAAAACGGAGAAAACGCAGATCTTCACTTTGGCCGGAATTTTTAAAAAGATCCGTTTTCGTGTGAAAAAACTCCGTTTTCGTGTGGATGACAGGCCAAAACGTAGAAAAATATCTACGTTTTAGCAGATCCCCGGCTACGTGTGGACAGGGCCTTGGATGTCATATCAATAAAAAATAAAAAAAAGTTCTTGAAGTTTTACATATAAATAAAACAAACGTTTTCTAACACGTGGTTTTCACTATTAAGCCCACTGGCTGCCGTGCGCATCATTGACCCCGGCACAACTTTATTCAGTCCACTCACCTTGTTTGCGATTGCATCTAAAGCAAATCACGAGCAGTCAGCAGCCATCTCTGCAAAGACCAACATCTGGACTCTTCTACAGTTGCACTGATTGTCTGTAGGTCTGCCTGCCAGATGTTTGCCCTCTGGATGTGATCTGTGCATTAGACATGAAAACAGTTTGTTTCCACTTCTCTCAAACACCATGGCAACTACTTCTTCTACAACTATATCACCGTTGACTTCTTTGTGACAATAATAGAAAATAATCCCATCATCTTCCTGTGATTGTTCTCCTGAAACAAACTGTGATAAAGTCCATCTGGAGGAATGAAAACCAGTTTGTTTTCCCTCCTTGCTTGTGTGTGTGTGTGTGTGTGTGTGTGTGTGTGTGTGTTTGTTCCTGAAGAAGCCAAAAAAAAAAAAGAAATATTTAGCAAAGCATCAGCCTCAGTTCACTGAACACATCTGTTTACACACGGCACCGACACACAGAAGATGCAGAGCCATTCGGCTCTTCTGGGCTTAAGTGGGTTCCTGCTGCAAATGTACAGTGAAAGAGGGAGAGGGGACTGGTGCTGGAGACAAACAGGAAAAGGGACGGACATTTTTAGTGCCCCTCCTGCAAAAGGGCCTTGAAAATTATACAAATCTGGATTATTATTATTTGTGTTTTGTTAAAAACATCTTTCAAGAACTAAACTCATTTTAGAAAGCAAAGTATTCAGGGATTGAGTTTAGTGTAAGCATCTACTTTTCTCACATACCTGATCTACACCAAAAATGCAGAGCTCAGCTAAAGGGATTCTTTGCAACTTTTTCATATTTTAAAATCATTTTCTTGCACCACTTTGTGCTAAAATGACCCATTACAGGTTGAATGAAATGTCATTCAGTTCCCAACCATCACACTTGCAACTTCAGAGTGTCGGTCCGGTCTGTTGAACTTAAAAAAAGAGCCGATTTACCTGGCGCTGCAGTCTGCTTCCAGCATGTTTTAGATCATAAACACAGTTGATTCATTTCATTTAGTGATAAGTCACTCCTGTAGATACGAATGAAGGCTGGGGAGACGTTTCAGCCGTTAGATTAAGGTGTTAAAAAGACAAACGCACAGCGGGAAGAGAAGTTTTGCTTTCAGTTTTACAAATTGGACAATACGGGGTGCTAAAAGCAAAATTGCTTAGTCTCCCTTTAATTAACTTTATTCATTTTTTTCTCCATTACTTCTTCTGCGTCATTTTTATTCTCCACAATCAAGTTCACCAACCTCATTCATGTTCCTCACACGAGAGAAACAATCTCA